TTCCTTCCTTCCTTCCTTCCGTCCTTCCGTCCTTCCGTCCTTCCGTCCTTCCGTCCTTCCGTCCTTCCGTCCTTCCGTCCTTCCGTCCTTCCGTCCTTCCTTCCTTCCTTCCTTCCTTCCTTCCTTCCTTCCTTCCTTCCTTCCTTTTTTCCTTCCTTTCTTCCTTCTCCTTCCTTTTCCTTCCTTCCTTCCTTTTCCTTCCCCTTCCTTCCTTTTCCTTCCTTCCTTTTCCTTCCTTTTCCTTCCTTCCTTTTCCTTCCTTCCTTTTCCTTCCTTCCTTCCTTCCTTTTCCTTCCTTCCTTCCTTCCCCTTCCTTTTCCTTCCTTCCTTCCTTCCTTTTCCTTCCTTTTCCTTCCTTCCTTCCTTCCCCTTCCTTCCTTCCCCTTCCTTCCTTCCCCTTCCTTTCTTCCTTCCTTCCCCTTCCTTCCTTCCTTCCTTCCCCTTCCTTCCTTCCTTCCTTCCTTCCTTCCTTCCTTCCTTCCTTCCTTCCTTCCTTCCTTCCTTCCACCAGAAAACGGGAAAAAAAAACGGGAAAAAATCCCCAAAAAAATAGCCCTCCTTATGCTATACCATGCTATACCGAGCTAGGATTGTTACCTTGAATGCATTGGTACCTTGAATATCCTTGAATTATATAGCTACCTTAAAACAGTTCCACCTTCTCACAGCCAGTGCCAAGCAGTGGTTGCTATGCGTTGCTATGCCGCTGAAAGATGCTCCTTGATATGCCTCCGAGCCAAATGCACCTCCAAGATTCCATAAGACTTATGCCATACGACCACAAAGCAGTCTGCAACCAAGAGACTGCTGCTGCGACGCCTGCCATGGACATATGGATTTCATATGGATTTCATGTGGACTTCATATGGATCTCATATGGATCTCATATGGATTTCATATGGATTTCATGGGAATCTTATGGGGATATGGTGATCACTGGTAGAACTTATCACCAAAATGCAATTTGGCCATCGCGCCAACATGTCCTGCGCCAACATCATGTCAACATGTCAAAACTTGAGATGTCTCAAAGCATCTCAAAGCATCTCCATCTACTCCTTCATGTCAAACACAGATTGTTACCCCCACTATGACACGTGTTACCCCTTATTGAGGGGTAGTCGATGGTCATCGTTCTGTCCCCAGCATCAAATAATTATATCAATCATCACCCTCCAGTCAATTAATATAGACCGTGACAATAACCAAGTCTTGGTGGAAACTCATCTTCCAACCCCCCATGGCAGGATCTATGTTAGTTGGGGGGATGGTATATTTTCCAAAAAAAATCGCGCACCCCGGGCCTCCTCCTCCTTCTTCCTCTACTTGGGCTGGAAGCACATCTCTGCTTGGGACGTGAAGATCGTGAAGAGCGCCGTCGACCTGAAATTTATATACATTTCCGTGTTGTGGGCATGGGTCAGACCATGTTGTGTTACGTTTAGCGGGAGTTGCTATCATAAAATATGAGTCCAAAGGGGTCAAATCATAATCCAAATTGGGCAGGAATCTGAGAATCAAGCCCTGCTGCTGCTATCTTCAAGGATTGGTTTCATTCTCTCCTGCTTTGCAGAAGTCTCCCAGCATCATGCCATCCACCTCTTGGATCATCCACGCTCGTCTGATGGCGATCATTGGGGATCATCGTCCC